TATCAAAATTAGGAATAGGAAAATTTCCATGATTTTTTAAAATACAGGTTTCGGATAAGACCAATATATCTATATTTGTAAATCGAATATCTTCTATATAAATAAGTAGTTCATGGAAGTTTCCTTCAAGTTCCTAATATTTAGGTGAAATACGTTTAGAAACAACTCACCACTCCATCGATGCATACTCTCCTTGAAATTTTGACATAGGTACTATAATTTTTCTTTCTTCATTGTTTTCCATCAAATCCAGAAATTCCAACATATCAGTTTACTAAGTTATAAACCTATAATTAAGGCGGTTGTGAATAATATAGAAGTATGTGAAGGTTTTGATGATAATGAAAAAAAGATTGGGTACAAAAACAAAAAAAATTGACGAAGAAAAGATAGAAATCACAGCATTGCTCCTATTGATGAAAGTTTTCACAATGAATGTATTATATTTATTATCGGACAATATTAATTAAATGTGTACCAAAAAGAAAAAGTGTTCATGGATGCGTTGAAATCAGTTAGACTGGAGAAAGAGACAAATGAAACAATAATTAAAAATAGACTCAAATAGTATAAAAATGATTATTCAGAGACAAATGGAAGAAAACATGTCATGAATGAAAGAAGGAATATGGAGGGTAAAATAAACTCACCAATTGATGCTTTAGCCATTAATGTATTCCTTATCTCTCTTTTTCCCTTCAATCCATGCCAGTTAAATTCCCTGGCAACTTCATTGATAACAACCCGGGAATAAATTCTCTTTATACATTCATATTCAGATGTACCGCCAATTTTTCCCAAGTAAGCAACCTGAAATAGATTCAATATGAAGAATATAATAATGATTCACACATATTGAAAATGAAATATGGTTGATGACACCGTGAATGAAACTGAAAAGAATAGAATTGAAAATAGCAGGATTAGCAAATTCTTGCAAAACATGCAAATATTAGAGGTGCTGACCTAAAACTACCTAAATTGTAGGTTGTTGACTCACCTGTTAACCTCAAACTTAAGCACGTTCACAGTTCACAAACCAATTGCACATAAATTGTCTAACACAACTATGTAATATTCATTTATAAATTTGAATCAGCATAATAAATTGCACTAGCACATATGCTCAAAAGGCCCACCACTCAAATTATTATTACTAAATTCCCAATTAATCCAATATGCAATAAGAGGATACAACGACAACAGAGAACAGCTAGTCGCTAGTCATTTCATGTCGCGGTTGCGCATGAGCAACTGTCTCAATTCAAAATGCGGGAGATTTGAATGTACATATTTAAACTTGGAGGTGAATGAAAAATTTATCCAGAGATTTATATTGAAGTTAATATTTAATTAATACAATCTTTAGTTTGTTATCAATAATGAACTATTCCCTTGAACGAATGTTTATGGAAATATTTTTTAATACATTATTCCTTTATAAATGAAGATTTCCTTGCAGAAATTAAAATTGTGAACGTTAATACATAAATTTTCTGAAAAGACTTTAACCTCAGTTTGTAGTTAATAGTTAATAGCCATGAAATCTATTCAATTCATTTCCTCTATGTTAAAACACTATTTGAAATCTTAAGCGTATATTTAACCCGATTCGATATCCATAGAATAACTTTAAATGGAAATCCCTAGAATGAATGCAGTTAGGTTATTCATAGTACTTCTGAACCCGATATGATATCCGATGGATATACTTCAATGGGTATCCCTGGGATAAATGCATTTGGGACATTCATAATACTTAAGGTCACTTTTCATATAACCTGAGGTTGTTCCAGGAATATTGCTGTAGGATTATCCCATTTTGGTGCATGCGGGATTACAATGGGATATCCTGGGGTGATAGTGTGCTGTTTGGGTTAATTATTTGTATACTGTTACAGTATACAAAGAATAACTCTAAACTCATTATTCAGATTTCATTATTACAAGAAATATTCGAATAAAACGTTTAGCAAAATTGCAAATTGTTCATGTATTATAGTGAAATTTTTATGAAAAACTACTCTTTATTTCCTCGTTCACAACAAATATTTACCGCTGAAATAATCAGTCAATGAAAATATCACTGAAAAGTCCTACTACGTTCATATTCCTCGTGATAAGCAAAATAAAATGAATCATGCATCCCACCCGAATTCTGAACGCTGAAAGATTAAAAAGCGAGCTTTTTCTGTCAAGTTGACCCTTTGCAATTCAATCTCCTTGCCAAAACTCTTCTCTTGGCTTCTTTTGAGAAACAATCTTTTTTCATCATCTATTTCCTTGATAGTTAATTCACCAGAAGAAATACCGGTTTTCCCACGATGTTTTCCTAGAATAAGCCTGCAAAACCTCAATACCCATGCTGCACTTCTCACAAGTCTTCGACATTTGGAAAACCGGTGTACTTCTGGCAGGTAGTCAAAAGATGGAACAATGAAACCAACAAAATGTTTGGCAGATTTTCTCTCATTTTTATCGTCGAGATGATAAATTGAAAAATGGAAGTCTGTTGGTGAATCATTCAAGTTCCACAAAAAATCAGGACCTCAAAACCAACAACTATTATAATTTGCGTCAATATTCGATGAATTTATTCTTGTTGCTTCGTCAGCAACGTTTAATTTGCCAGGGACATATTTCCATTGAGCTGCAACTGTTAAATCTCTTATTTCACTGATTCTATGTACAACAAATTGTTTATAATTCCATCCATCACCTTTGATCCTACACAGAACTGTTTTGAAATATGTCCACAAAGAAGAACTATAAACAGGAACATCAATTTTTTTCAATATCGTGCATAACAATCGGCTACCCATTACAGCAGCTTGTAACTCTAGCCATGGAATTGAAATAGGCTTCGGGTGACTCACTCTGGCCTTTGCTGAAACGAAAGATACCTCAATGTGCGTTTCGAAAATTACTCTCAGGTAGGCTACCACCGCAAATGCTTCCTCGCTCGAATCACAGAATATGTGGATTTTTGTTGCCTTAGCAGTAGAAAGAGAGAGGGAATCCTGAGTGAAGAGATTGATTCTGAACTTTTCAACCATTCTAACCATCTATGGATGATTGTTGTTGGAATCTCATCGTCCCATCCGATGCCACTTGGCCAGATCGTAGAATGATTTTTCTCGTGATAGACAAGAATGTGGGAAAGTCTAAGGGATCAAAAATCGACATAACCAACTGAAAAACTTGTCGTTTTGTAGGAATCACCATACCGTCAGTTATTTCTTTGGGAACCTTATGATAAACGACTTTAAATGTAAACGAAACACATTTCACATCCCATCATACTCCTAAAATGCGGTCCAACGATGACTTATTGAAATATTTTTCGACATGTTCGTTTCCGTATATTTTGAGATAACCTGAACGTGACAATTTATAAAACCGACAAAATCTTCGAAAATTTGATTTTTTGAAACATACATAATTCAATCAGTTCATTTTGAGTTTTTGCGCTGATGTACGTTGGTTTTGAAGATGAGTTTTTTAAATGTTCTTTCAGTACGGTATCTCCATTTTCGAGGCGAAAACGCTATTTGCACACACCGATTTTGTACGGCCAGTATAAAATTGGCCTATATTTTATTGGTAGCGTGTGCTTGCAGACTCACCGGATTTTTACCGGTCACCCATTGAAATCGTAATTGTAGTAACTACAATTTCACCGAGCAGTCGAGACTGGAATGGTCGGTTAAAAACCGGTGAGTATGCGTACGCCACTACTTCCTGGAACTGACAGCGATACAGTGGCAGTGGACGGCTGCTCACCGGTATTTTACCGGCGAAGTTCACCGGTCGGCGTGTGTGCCAGGTCCCGTTCCCACATGTGCTTCACTATTGCAGTTTGGACGACCGGTATAAAATCGGCCGTTCAAATCGGTGTGTGTGTGTTTCAGAACTTTTTATTTCAATAGCTCCACTGTCTCATGTCCTCTCAATGGAATATTCTGCCGACCAAAAAAGATAATGGGCTCAATAATAGAAGTGAGACGTTTCCTATTTTCGATAATTTGCTCCTAGCTAGAAGACAGGTGTAAAAACCTATAGTTGTGTCTTCATCATCATCATTTTTTGAGTTTGAATACAAGAAATGTTCGGATTTATTCTCATGTAGTCATGGTCATGTGGAGGGTGGTAATTACCCTATTACCCCTCTCAGGTATCTGAGTTGGTAGTGGGAACCGGTTTGTGACTTGCAGAAGCCAGGTGCGTGCATGGTGTGAGATGTACAGCGTGACAGTAATGATATCCATGAATGAGGTAATCTTTGTGAATCGTCTCAATTGTTGAGGCAGTTAGGACTTATTTTAATAGCTTCATGGATCATCTTGGCCTGGAGAGATTTTTGGTGGCAATGAGTTTGGTGTTTTCAAACCTATTGTGAGGCCTGGTGTTTGAAGATGTTTGTACTTTTGTCGGTCTTGAACTATTCGCTTCGCACGTGGTTCATCGGAATTTTGACACTTCTGGTAGTTACAAACTCATCCACATTTTTCGAACTTATTAATAATTCGACAGATGGTGGTCTGAGAAGGTAGTGGCCAATTCTCAAATGGAACAATGAATATATCTATTGTATCTCGAATCGAGTGACCACCAAGTTAACACATGAAATTTGTATGTATTCTGCCTTTGTGAACGTGAACATTTTACAGTTCACAAAGAGTTATGTTATTTTCAATCGTTATAAATTGACTGCTGCCTAACATATCAGTTGTTCAAGTTGAACAAAGCAGGCGGGGAATGGTGGTTCAATCAAATAGTTGATATTCTTTCTCTAAGTTTAAACTGGACTGCTATCCATAATGCATCGCGATTCGTATGATCCGATATTTTCACATCTGTATTACCGATATTCTGTAATTTGGTTAGGTTAATCAGATTTTATATACTCTCAACATCAGCCCTCTTTGCCACAAAATTTAACCGATATATTTACAATAGAAATTATGAAATATGTCTCACAAAGTCTTGAAAATTTTCAGATTTAATTCCTGAAAATAACCGAAAAAAATGTAACTCACATGTTCCGTGCATACTGGCAAAAAATCAACATCAACAACACCAAGAAGGTTGTCAAAAACAAACCAACGTGCAGCAGCTCCAGGAATTCCTGTATTCACCGCAGATTCATCAACACCATTCAGTTCAAGAAATAATCCAGGTAAAATCAACTTTTTTTATTAGTAATACCGATTGTAAGGTAGAAGGTTACCTTCTACCTTAGAAATGGCGTAGAAATGATACATAGATGAATACTTGTCAAAATAAGTTGGAATGAAGTATTTTTCTTAGAACCTTCTTGATGATCTTATGATTTTGTAGAAATTCATAATGAATATAGAATAAAGAAAAAAACTTCTATTTTCCACTAAATTTATTATTTGTTACAACAGGTTTTGGTTCGTTACATCATTCTCAAGTAATTGATACATTTTATCAACACAAGTCCTTAAATATATAATGATACTAGTACCTGTAATAGGTAGTGAAATAAACAATGTTACCTAACTTATCAATACCAATACTACAACAATAACTAAACTTTTGATCCCTAAATACTTACTTGTGGATTTTTCCACCCACCAATGGATCCTTACGTTACAGAGAAACGTGATAGAGAATTAAACATGTTAACTCAAGCTGAAATGTATGAAACTATTTTGATTATAATGCTCTCAAACGTCTTCCAAAATCTTTGTTGCAGCAACCTCTTACAATCATAAGATATTTCGTGGCATCCATCCAGAGAATATACATAGGTTTTACTACAAATTTCTCAATTTCTTCTCCACTGAAATTTTAGACGTCAAAGTGACACAAAGTTTTTGATAGAAATCTTACAATATAGTGTTTCTTGAATACAATAAATATTTTATGATCACTAATTAATTTATCTATAATATTTGAAGGATACCTGTTGCTTTCAGCTATGTCCCTAATAACATTTTTTTAATATAACCTTTCTTCACTCAAGGGGGACGAAACACGCCTATGAACAAGAAAGTTTGTATTGTGAACAATGGCGTGAGCTATCAAGAATATATCTAAAAGTACTGGTACTTTTTTGTAGACGTCAAATTCTAGGACCTATGTACTTCTAATAACTGAGACATCAGTGAATAGTATTACCTCGTTGTTTTCGATTCCATACGTGAACTTAACATAGTAAAGGGGCTGCACCGGTTTTAAAAGTTGGCTTATGAAGATTAATATGGGAAAACGGCTAGGGTCCATCGTGCCATTTTTGATTCCTTTCAAGGTCACGCGTACGGCCGAGAATCGAGCAGCGTTATCGCGGTTTGGAAGATAACGATTCGAGCGCGCTTTGAATAATTTAAAAACAATAATATATACAAGGTGTGTGTGGTGTTAAAGAAAAAAACATGGCTGCCAGCGTTAAAGAAAAAAACATGGCGGCAATGTAACGGGCATTTAGTGGAGTACACAGGGGTGCGTCAAAATATATAATTTAAGAAAAAACGACGTGACAGTTTAACGGGACTGTAATATTTCAACGCTAGATCCCTCAATGTGTGTTTAGGGTGTCTCAAAATACATCATTTAAAAAAACATGGCGGTAATGTAACAGGCATTGAGCGGAGTATGCAGGGTGCGTCAAAAATACATCATTTAAGAAAAAACAACATGGAAGTTTAACGTCCATAACAGGCATTGAGCGGAGTATACAGGGTGCGTAAAAAATACATCATTTAAGAAAAAACAACATGGAAGTTTAACGAATCTCTAAACGTTTCAACGTGCGATCCCTCAATGTGTACAGGATGTCTCAAAATACATCATTCGTTTTGTTCAAAACATGACAGTTTAACGTTTCAAAGTGCGATCCCACACATGTTACGTGTTGTTTAACGTTAGAAAATGAGGCAATGGGGGAAAGCGAAGTATTTGGCAATGACATTGAAGAAAAAAACATGGCGGCTGCTTGTCGAAAAATCATAAGGTATACAGGGTGTTATTTTTACATGCGTTTCAACCGTTCACGTTTATTAGTTATCATTTCGTCGTCATTATCTCTGGTCATTTTCATGCCTCCGTTAGGAACCTTGAGAAACACACAACTCAATGTAGGTGTGGCGTATATGAGACTGAGGAAATGCAGTTTTTATATGAGAGAGTGTGAAATAGAGAAAAAAAATTAAAAACGTGATATACCAAAAGGGCACTTAGCCGCATCTTCGTTAATACTAGTCGCATCGCCATGAACAGTACGTCAAATGAAAGGAAAAGAAATGCAGAATTCATTGACAAAGAAAAAACAGAGATTGCGACCAGAAGGGCACTCAGTCACATCTTCGTCAATCCGGATCGTATCGTCACGTATAGAACGTCAAATGAAAGGGAAAAGAATACAGAATGTATCGACAAAGTAAAAACAAATATTGCGGCCAGAAGGGCACTAAGCCATATCTTCGTTAATAAGGATCGGATCATAATACACAACACGTCAAATGAAAGGAGAAGAAATGTAGGATTCATCAACAAAGAAAAAACAAAGATTGCGGCTAGAAGAGCACTAAGCCATATCTTCGTTGATAAAGTTGGTTCATCATACACAGCACGTCAAATGAAAGAAGAAGAAATGCAGAATTTATTGACAAACAAAAACAAAGATTGCGGCCCTAAGGCATTCAGTCACATCTTCGTCAATATTAATAGTCGTATCGTCACGTATAGCACGTCAAATGAAAGGGAAAAGAATACATAATGTATCGACAAAGTAAAAACAAATATTGCGGCCAGAAGGGCACTAAGCCATATCTTCGGTAATAATGATCGGATCATAATACACAACACGTCAAATGAAAGGAGAAGAAATGTAGGATTAATCAACAAAGAAAAAACAAAAAATGCGGCTAGAAGGGCACTAAGCCATATCTTCGTTAATAATAGTCGGATCATCATGCACAGCACGTTAAATGAAAGGAGAAGAAATGCAGAATTCAACAACAAAGAAAAAACAAAGTAAAAAACAGAAATGACGGCCAGAAGGGCACTAAGTCACATCTTCGTTAATAATAGTCGCATTGCCACGAACAGCACGTCAAATGAAAGGAAAAGAAATGCAGAATTCATTGAAAAATAAAAAAAAAAGATTGCGGCCAGAAGGGCACTGAGCCACATCTTCGTTAATAATAGCCGGATCTCAACGTGCAGCACATCAAATGGAAGTGGAAGGAATGCAGAATTCATTGAAAAAGAAAAAACAAAGATTGCGGACATAAGGGCACTAAGCCACATCTTCGTTAAATAGTCGCATCGCCACGAACAGCACGTCAAATGAAAGGAAAAGAAAAAACAAAGATTGCGGCCAGAAGGGCACTGAGCCACATATTCGTTAATAAAAGCCGGATCTCAACGTGCAGCACATCAAATAGAATTGGAAGGAAGGCAGAATGTATCGACAAAGTAAAAAAACAGAAATCGCGGCCAGGAGGGCACTGAGCCACATCTTCGTTAATGATAGCCGAATCGTCACCTTTAGTACGTCAAATGAAAGGAAAAGAAATGCAGAGTTCATTGACAAAGAAAAAACAAAGAGTGTGGCCAGAAGGGCACCCAGTCACATCTTCGTCAATAATAATTGTTGGATCTCAACGTGCAGTACGTCAAATGGAAGGGAAAGGAATGCAAAATGTCTAGACAAAGAAAAAACAAAGATGGTAGCCGGAAGGCACTGAGCCACATTTTCAATATTACAGTATTCTGTCATTTACCGTCTCTCGACGCGCGTTTTGCCAACCAACTAAGTATCATCAGAAGATGAACATCATTAAAAGGAAAAACAATGAACACTCGTCATTTGTCATTGAAATAAATAGGACCTTTAGATTCGCATGATAAATAATAACTTATAGTCAGCCTCCTCAAAATAAATAGAATAATGATTGTAGATGGTGAAATTGGGATAATAATGATGAATGAAAAATTATAGAAAAAAACATGGCGGTTTATAGAGTGTCTCAAAACATATTATTCAAGAAAAAATATGGCAGGTGCTTATCAAATTCAGTATATCAGGTATACCAACATTTAAAAGAGAAAAGATGGCTGCCTGAGATATCCCCATATGATTTGCATTTCAACGTTGTATGTAAAATAATGTAGAATTGTCACGAGAATCGCAATAAACGTTATTAGAAAAACCTATCATAGGGACGTATCAACATTTTGTTTTCGAAGTGAGGAAGACGTATCTCTCAAATTATAATGTGCGATCGAACAGAACATTTTGGATACGAAGAATTAAAAAAACTACTCACATCTGACATTTACATAATTCTTTTCAAAGAAGACAGTTGGATGATACTTGCTTGTAAAATAAGTGACGTAACCTAACATTTCAACATGCGATGCTCCGTCAACTCCCAGAAGAGAGACGTAACCTCATATTTCAACGGTCAAGAAGTTGCTTCCGTTTCAGGTTCTACACACACATACACATACCTGTCGCGCAATAGTAGTGGGGACACCACGCCCTGGTGTGAATTGTGTAGTCTTCGAAGTTATTATAACCAGGCGGTAGAGGCTTATTAGGTGAATACCCAGCTATTTGCGGATCTTCTTTATAGGCCGAAGCCAGTGACCTTTCATCAAAACAGACATATGTGGTCATGACCACACCTCAACGGTAACTGCAGGTCAACCCACTGATGTCATTTTGTGGCCACATACACAAATCACACACCTCAAAATTTCAAGGTCATTATTTCAGGTATCATTATGTGGCCATATACACCTGGTTTATATTGTGTTTATATAAAATTATAGAAATTTTCCTGAAAGCTAACAATATAGATTTTTTCATTTCGATTATTTTCGAAACAACTGAAAGTATCAAAAACTCTAACGGGAATGATTTTATTTGTCAGTGGATCATTTCCACAAATGATAATCAAATAAAGATTTTGATAAAGACACTTTTATAATCGATGCTTGTTTTATTTGTTGAACGTTTCGTCGTACTACCAACATCCCAAAAATGCGTATCGGACTCTTCGAACTGTTTAATTTTTACCTTTCTCTTGTTTATACTACAAAAAGTTTTTCATGAAATTAAACTGTTGAATCTTGAATAAAATTTGCTCTCGATAATGCAGTCGCCATTGATTTCATGCAGTATATTTCAATGTATTAAATTTC